CCTCTGTCATGCTTTACATGTGTTGTGGTACCCCATTAGTCCATCCTGTTTTACCAGTCCCGGAACTGTGCACAACTACGCAATAACTACACAAACTACGGCACAGGGCCCGGCAGAAGCCCGCACACATCTCATTCCGTCAACGTCCCGTTGAAACCCTGCAGCCCCGCATCGGGTTCGCTGGTCTTCCGTGTCTCATGGTGGCTCCGATTTCCTTTTCGCGTCTTGTCTCATCCCTGTCCACTTACTCGTCCAATTGTGCCCAGTTTTCAGCTTCAAATGACCACCGACCGTGTAAAATCAACCAAGCCTGAAATTCAGAATCACCACAGTAACTATTCCCATGCAGTACCGAGGTTTGCATGGTGCCCGCGTTTCTTACCGCCATATTCAGCCAAAATTGACTGGGCATTCGGGTGGTCGTGGTAAAGAAATGAGCCCCGTGCCCGACTTCTTATCCCGATTCAGAAACTGGAACATGCCTCGAGGACTTCTCAACAGCTTTCAGATCCGGCCGTAGACACACAGCACCTGCCGCAGGACACGTAAGAAGCGGCCCCTGTGTGCTGCGGCCGCGTATCCCATCGCACAGCCGAGCCTTTCAGTTTATGATGTGCCGATCTGCATTCTTATTCCGTTCATTTCCGCTCTTCCCTCCTGAATTTCACTACGGTTCAAGTCCTCAAGCTGATACAATGGCTGTGTTTTCGCTTGCTGCGATGTTAGGCATCTCCTGTCTCAAGAATTTCCTCCGGTTCAAACCATTCTAACTGTCTACTGCGCTATGGGAATGTTCTGAAACTTCTCCGGCTCTTCCGACTGAAATAATTACTGGGGCTTTGTCCACGCTGTCTTTCTGGCTGACACTTTGTCCGGCAGCCTTCTTGCCCCTTAATGAATACTTTTGTGACTTAAGCATGCCGATGGCGATCCGATTATGCGTTCGATTACGCCAGCTAGTGCACCAAGCGATGCGTGTGATGTGGGTGCTTCGAATTTTTGCAGTTGGAACATGTTGGGAGCTATTTGGACTAGAAATTCGCTTCGCACTATGAATTCTATCCCTCTTACTCCTCGTTTCCGTGCATTGGCTCTCAACTGATTTTCCAAGCTGTGGGTCTGTGGAATCCCCTTGAAGTGGTTCATTTTCAATCTATATCTTTTGATATTGCGCTCAATCTCGGGCTTCTTGAGAAGATCAGCCACGGTGTCAACTCCTCTCCGGTACAACGGCAACTGGAAACTCATTTTGTATATGTTGGAACTATTCCGCAATCAGCGCGCTTCAACTGCCGGAGTGAAGCGAAGGCATGCTTTGTTTTCATTCATAGTTTATGTCACTGCTCCAGCCTTGTATCCATGATGAGTGCCATGTTCACCATCTTCATTCTCCTCTGGGTCTAAGCCATTCTATTGATGTGTTCTCAGCTCAAGTAGAACGCACTTTCCGAGCATGAAGTGCTCTGGAGTAGGGATTCTGAAACCACCTCTACAATGTTTTTGAGCCAACCTTCGTCGTCTCTGGATTACAAGCTGTGGTACGAAAGTTAACCTTGATCATCTCATTTTGTTTGGTTTACTCATTATTTAACACTGTTGAGATCTAAAACTGCAGGAGTTTGGGAGTTGGAAATGCCGCCAAACACACCGCCATCAATACCGCCGGCATACCGGCTCCACCAGGCGGAGTTTGAATACCAATATCCCGCACCCCGGCCACTGTCTAATAAGAGATTCTAATGGAAATATATTCTGCCGGATAGGGCTACCGCTTACATGTAGCTGTAGATGAAGGTTCGCGTTCGAGCGGAAAGGACCACTTCTGATCCCTGTACCATATTTTTGGTACAGGGACTTATGGTCTTCGAGGAATCAAGTTATTATTAAGGAAACCTTTCTCTTTCTCTGTTATGAATTTGTACGATTAGAGAAGCTCACCGAATGATGTGTCATCGACAAAGGTAGCTACAAAGACCCTATGTATGTTACATAGACCGACACAAAATCTCTGTACTGGTATATAAAGGGATGGACCCCTTGGCCTCCGAGGCGGGAAAATCCTCTCATTCACTCGCCGCTGTACATTTTTTCCCTGACCAAGCAACACAGAGAGACGAAGGAGAGACAGGGGTGTTTGCAGCTATTGATCCACAACTGTCATTCAAGCTCCGCTGATCGAATCTCACCATCAAAATGCCGCCGATCACACCAGCGGCCTCCCAAATCCCCGGCATTTCCAACTCCCAAACGGACTCTAAAACTGAACCTTGTTTTGAGCATCTGCTCAGGACATTTCATTCACATTGAATGTCGCTCAACTAAAGCTGATCATTTCGAGTTGAACTGACCCGTGTTAAAATTCCCTTGCTCCAATCCACTATATTAGATGTGTTCAAGCTTCTAGTTCAAGCTGCATCTGCCATGTAAGTTGTCACTGTTCATCCCCTGATTGATCATGAACTGATGTTCACACAGCAGTTTTCGAGTTGTAGTGGCACATGTAATGACAGCTCGAGTTTACTCAAATCAGTATTTAATCTGTGAATGATTGGCCAGAAGAGAGGGGCAGACTCGGAGGTGGCCTGGGCCTGCTTCCAAGACGCGACGCATTTCTGACTTTCGGGCATCGAGGGCAAAGACTGTAGCGGCGGGCACCTGGTTTCCGATAACCCGAAGCAGACGAAGTCCTATTGCATTTGATGGGTGGGTCGAGTCTCCCTTGGGAAGTGGTTAACGTTATGCGCAACTGTACGGTTGTCAGGATGTCATAGGTTCGATCCCGCCTATGAGTGTTCTTTTTCTCTACTCAACCCAGATTTAATCTGTTTAATCCGTTTAATCTGAACATCGTTCAATGCCGGTTCAATCATAACCCTGATTAATCCGAGCGGCAGCATGTTGCGCCCTGCACTAGAGTGGATCAAACTGAACATTGTTTAAACAGTGATTAACATTTCAACGCCATTTGATTGTTCAAACTTCGTATAGATTTATATACTGCAAGGATATACAACACTCTCATGACTGAGGTTCTGAGCTACTCGACTTATGCAGTACACGGCACCGATTGGGTAGGATTTCCATCTAATAACGAAAGATATACATTTACATTGTCTTGAATAGGGATGCGTCGTGGCGTATTCGCTCTACAACTTCTTCAATACAACTGTCTACGCAGCGCAGTTTGTCTTCATCCCATTTTTTTCTGTCTCTCCTCAAGAACTCGCCGACAACAATATCACTCTGTCGGCTATACAAAATGTGACCGAACAACGGTACACTAATGGAGTACGGTCGGCAACCCCTATTTCTTGGAGCAGGAGTATAAAGTGTCTCTCTTCAACCACTGCACCTGGCTAATAGCGCGTGCAGCCCAATGACATTGGATTGGCTCTGTACGACAGCCCTGTCGGCCAGCTGGCGTGGATGGGAGGAAAATACAAGCTCTGTCTGTATTGTGCTTGACTTTCTCATTCCTATCATACTCACGGTTTTAATCGCACAGGGTCTGACCCGCGCGCGGGGACCCCGCCTTCAGTGCTCAAAAACACGGTAGCTCTGACTTCCCTATCGCTTTTCTACCTCATTGACTCGTTCCTGTCCTCCGTCTGGGTTAATGCACAGAATCCGAACGGATTCCGCACCGTGTATACTAAAGCAAACACAGACGCTCCAATGCTTTTCAGCCAGTATAAGTACAATCCCCTGTTTGGGCCCAAGAGTACGTCGCGAAGGTCGGGAATCTCGTCTCGTACAAAGGTTCGGCTTCTTTCTGCTAGCCGTGTATAAACTAATTACATAACCTGTTCAGTGCGCGATTTTGGAGGGCACTTCCCGGAGCTGGAAAACTCCCCGGCAGTCATTGAGGATACTCGAGAGATGGGACCATATTTTACGGCTTGATTCTTCGTCTCCTGCGCGGGCTTTTATAACAAATTGGCACGTGACTGGTTCAACCAAAGTTCAAATCCAGACTATGATCGGATCTCCTTAGGCACCGAAAGAGTAGAGGAATCTGGAACAGGAATGAAATCCTCGTCTTCTCACGGGAATAATGGCCGGAGGTTATATAACATATGAGCGTTCTTTTTGGTTCGTGCATGCTGATGATTCCGCTCCTTAAATTCAACCATAGCTCTGTGTAGCGATCCGAGAATTATGCGTTAGACACGGCCGGCTCCTGTACAACTCAGTTTGCTACAGTTGAGCTTCATCGCGGTGAGTTCAGAGATAATTATCGGGCGTGGTGCACGGTGCACGGCGGATCCCCTTTCGCCACTTCCACTGTCGAAGCCGTAGATCGGGTTAGACTCCCCGTGCCCGACCTAATCCAGAGTAGATTAATTTTTGGTACAATACTCCCACTCGTTGAATTCCACAATGGCTTCGATGGCTCCGCAAGATCCATTCTGGGCTGAAACCCGGGCTCGATGATCGGCTCATGTCTACTTCACTTCGATGTCATTCGTCTTCATCGTGGCGCACTCAAAGCTAAACATCGGGCGTGGTGCACGATGCACGGCGGCTCCATCTGTTTGGCCGAGTTCTAAAGTACCGAAGCCGCAGGTCGGGGTTCGACTCCCCGCGCCCTACCATCAGTGAAACATGACTTTTTTGTGCATGCTACTCTGGAAATTCAACCAAAGCTCCCAGTTGCGCCTCCGCACCATCCAATGTGGGCCTGGGGACCGGGGATAATTAATTTGAGTTCATGCAGCGACGCAGTTCATATACAGAGAGCACTTTGCTACAGTTCAGCTTCACGTTCAAAGCGAAATATCGTGCGCGGTGCACGGTGCACGGCGGCTCCATTTAATTAAGCGGATTCGTTGTAAGCTGCAGACCGGGGTTCGACTCCCCGCGCCCGACCTCCGTTAGTGAATATCCATTTTTTCCCCCGGAAATGCTGATAGTCGCTGGAGAAGACGAGATCCGAGTAGCTCGTGTAAGGGTCACTTTGTTGTAGGTCAGCTTTATCAGGGTACGTACAGAGATAATTATCGGGCGTGGTGCATGGTGCACGGCGGCTGCATTTACAACCCCTCATAGAAGACATTATGCGCTGGAGACCGGGGTTCGACTCCCTGCGCCCGACCTTCATTGGGGTTTTTTTTTTCGTCGCAATGCTGACTCTACAATGCGCTTAGCATTAATGTCGTACTCAAATCGTATCTCGCACGTTTTATTTTGGGCTCTAGCGACGCGCATCATGCATCAGCGGCGGTGCCTGTGTGGGGAGCGTCGCAACGGCATCGATGCAGTACTTAATTGAATGGGACGGAGATTGCTACCCCTTGCTCTCCCGGCAGTTTAATCCAGGTCAGTTCCGTCCAGTTTGGAGAGCCTCGCTTATAAAGGCGGGGTGCGTGCGCCTGGATGATCATGGATGGACTTGCAATATTACTATCAGACACTCGAATATATCGATGTAGTGGCAGAGAAGCACGATGATATTGATTATTCCAAGGACAGGGGTGGAGTAATGGTGGCGCGCGCGCATAGCAACGAGGTGCGGGGTGACTGAAATTGTAATTTAATCCTAACGCCTGTGGAGACGATTCGGAGTGGTGGCGGCCGCAGCGTACGGCCGCTTTTTGCTGGTCCATGGAGTCGAGGGTGAAGAGAGGCTTATGAATTGTATTTTGAGTGTTGGCTTTTTGTTCTCCGGTGTTTGAGCGCTTTATCCCCTGGAGGTAACACTCGGGGATGAAGGGTGTATGATTTAAATTTGATACATATGGGAATGGAAGACCAAGCACATGCGTGCGTAGGAAACCTATGAATCATAGCGTCGGCTGGTGGTTGCACGACGGAAAAGCGCCTGCCTTTCATGGTGAAGTGATCGTGAGTGTCGATGTCGTCTGTGCTACCTTTGATCGCCGTCGACGGAGATCTAGACCTGAATTGAACGGAATTGACTCCGTTCATCTGAATATTAATCTCGACTTGAGCTTGGACTGATATACGCTTGACTTGACTTGACTCTTGACTTGGCTTTCAAGTTATACATATATGTCGTTGGGCGGCCGGTTGAAATTTGGATGGGGGGGTCAGGATGTTGAACTGTCTGTGCTCGCAGTCTACTCGTGTGATGAGAGCGAACAAATTTCGGAGAAGTCTCGGAGAAGAGAAGGAGGACAAAGGAAGGAAGAGAAGGGGAACCGCGCGCCGCGGATCTCGGGACAGTGATAACCTGTTGATCTCGACCTATCATGGGAAGACGGACCTGGACGGACTGACGGACAGCGATGATGACAGAACCGCGCGACTCGTGCCAGAGATCAGTCTTCGGCGCTGACGGACATCCTTGACCGGCATGCTATCAGAGATCGAAGGGGTTCGATTCGGAGTCAGCGCGCTTCCGAAGTGATCAATGGGGGAGTTTGAGCTGGAAGGAAGGAAGAGAGGAAATTGGACGTGAGATGGGTGGACTGGGTGAGATATTTACTTGCTGACTCAGATGTCGGGAGGAGTGGAAGGTAGCGACGCGCATCAGCATCAGCATCAGCGGCGGTGTCGGTGCGGGGTAACTCTCCGAGACTCCGACGCCCGAGTCATTTCACCCGGACTCCGGAACCAATTCAATTTTAGAGGCGGAACCAGTCCTCCGCGGGACTGTTTATAGTGAGTTTCAATGGACTCACGAGGAATGGACTGCGATTCGGAGGTCCTCCGGCTGTCGAGCATCCGAGTCGGACGCAGGGCGGCGGTGTAGTATTTACTAATAGGTGCACTGGGACCAGGGGCGCGGGAGGGTGGGAGATATGTAAATTTAAATGCTCATGAATGGATCCGCGAATCTGAATTGATTTTGGGTGGCGGCGGCACAGAGGCAAGGAAGACGCTGACACTGAAACAGGAAAGACAAAAGACGAAAGAGGAAGATGCGTACACCGGGGAGAGGGGAATGAAATATTTGTCAGTTTCAGCGGGTGGTTACGGGGTGGAAGCGGGAGCGGATTCGAGGTTGCGGGGTGCATGGGGAAAAATGGATTTGTATCATGGAGAGAGTGAGTTCGAGAGAGGTACTTATGTAGTGAGTTGATGTTAGTGCGATGGTGGTCTTCTTCCTGGCTCGAATTTCAGGTCAGCGAGGATCCGCGGCGGGGGTAATATACCTGGCGGCCGGGTATAATTAAATGAGAGAGTGAGAACTCGGTCCAGGTTGAGAAAGCCGAATCGGGGAACTGCCGTCGTCAAGACGGTGTTAGTATGGGGTCGTTCTGGGACACGCTAAATTGAGGACATAAAAGATAGATGCGAGTCGCCAACGGATGTAAATCGCGAACGTGTAGATCCCGAACCGGTAAATCGCGAACCTGTAAATTGTGAACTTTTACCGAGGGGTTTTTGAGTCCAGATGCTAATGCTGACGCGACGCGTGTTTGTCCGCATATGTAAGCCCGACCTCTCGTAAGCGCCAGCAAGGCCGTAAGCGGAAGCGCAATCGCCGCGGCCCGCTGGACCACCAATCAGCGGTGGCATCATTCGTGGGCAATCAGGCCAAGGTGAGATGCTGATCATGCGATTCCGATCCGCGAGTGTCGGGCACGAAGAGAAAAGGGTCGGAGGCTAGTGCGAGTGCTGGAACGTCGGACCGAAAGGAAGGGAGGAGGGAGGAAGGAAGAAATGGAGGAAATTTAAACCTCCTGGAACACCGGGCTCGGAAGATCAAACAGACACAGAAAATGCTTGTCAGGCCGAGAACGTCGGTGTGTTTTGTTGCTCCAAAGCCTCCAAGCTCCAACTGGGCGTCGCAGCTCCAAAGTACAGCGGCGCCACATCCGCCCTAATAGGGTGGGTTTATCTTGTACCGATCGAAGCCGCGATTCAGGGGCTAGGACGGAATGTGAATCAAATGGAAATAAAGAATGAGGGAAATGAAATGCGGCCACGGAGAGGGGTTTTTTTGTGCGAGTGAGATTCCAAGTGAGACTCTAGTCGCAGAGGGAGCGAGACACAGAAAGACCCTGGGGATTCTTTTTTTTTTTTTGTGGAGTAAAGCAGGGTTTTGGGGCGCAACGGCGCCGAGTGAACAGCGGCAGGGGTTGCGGGGCGTCGCGGTCAGGGGCGCGCATGGTACTGTGATGGTTAGGGCGAAAACAGGGGCAAACAAGTTACATAAGGCCATTTGGAGACAGCCGGTCGCTCGCCTTCCGTCTTTTCCCATCACCACCACCACCCACCACCTCCCCTCCTCGCCGTCGTCGTCGTCGCCGTCGACCTCGCAGCCCTCCTCGCCGTCGACCCCCCCGTCGCCGACTCCCTCCGACTCGCCTCGAGTCTCCCCGACCCTCGTTAACCCGTTCCCGTTAGTAGTCCAGAAAAATGGGGTGTATGCAGAGCTCCGGCGTGGATGAGGAGGCCAAGGCCCGTACGTGCTCTTTCTTCTTTCCTCGCCGTGGGGAGCGAGCTGCTCACCGCCCGTGCTAGGCAACGACGAGATCGAGAACCAGCTCAAGCGCGACCGGATGATGGCGAAGAACGAGATCAAGATGTTGCTCCTCGGTGCGGGCGAGTCGGGCAAGTCGACCGTCCTGAAGCAGATGAAGCTCATCCACCTCGACGGGTACAACGCCCAGGAGCGTGATGCGTACAAGGAGATCATTTTTTCTAATACTGTGCAGAGCATGCGGTGAGTGCGATGATTCCTTTTCGTTTTGTATTTCTTTCGTTGCCTCGCTTTGGCGGTTTGGCGGTTATGGTCCGGCGAGGCCCCCTGTCTTGCCTTGTCGAGACTATTCCTTTTGGGCGATTTCGCTCTTCCCCTCGTCGTATGGGCGTCTTGCGGCCCGTGCGCCCCTCGTTCGCGCTCATCGCCGCTCGCCCCTGTCTCCCGCCTTTGGCATTTGGCGGGGACAGCGACGAGACGTCTTCGGCGCCTTGCCGGCTTCATTCGCTCGTTCTGCGCCTTTTGTTCGCGCGGCGAGGGGGGACAAGTCCCCTGTCGAGCCCGTCCTGTTTAGGCCGTCGTCTCCCCTTCCTGCCTCCTTCGAGTCCCTGCCGGAATTTCGGAGTCCCGCCCTTCGTCCCTCCTGCCCTTCTTTCTCCGCCGCCGCTCCTCTTTTGTCGGCCGCCTCGAGGCGACGGCTGTCTGCCCCCTTTCTCACGTCCGTCTGGGCATTTTTCCTGTCGTTACGTCTGCAGCCCATGCAGCGTGCTTTCCGCCTTGGCGCTCCTTCGAGTCCCTAGCGGACGTCGCCCCTGTTTCAGAGTCCTTCCTTCCTCGTTTCTTTCTAGCCCCGCTCGTTCCCCTTTGCCATGCGGCTGCCCGAGACAATAGTCGTCTCTCTACCCCTCCCCCTTCTGGGCGTTTTTTCTGTCGTTTGTCTGCAGCCCCTGCAGCTCACCCCCTGCAGCTCATCCTCCTGTTTGCCTTCATTTCCCGCCCTTTCCTGCTTTCCTTCGTCCCCCTCGCCGCTTCCGCGCATGCTGACTAATTGGCCCCAGCGCGATCCTCGAAGCGATGCCGCAGCTCGACATCTCGCTCGCGCCGCAGAATGACGCGCGCCGCGCAATCATCATGGCGCTCCCCGCGCAGATCGAGGCGGACGTCCTCCCCCGCGACCTCGCGGACGCTGTTCGTGGCCTCTGGCGCGGTACGCATGCGTTTTTTTGCCCGGTTGTAATGGCTTCTTACGATTGCTCCGCTCGTTTTTTTTTCTTTCGCCCTTGTCTTTCCCCGCCCGCCTATGCCGAAAACCCCCGCTCTCCACGCCCGCTCTCCACGCTCGCTCTGCTCACCAGACCCCGGCGTAAAAGAAGCCGTGCGCCGCTCGCGCGAGTTCCAGCTCAACGACTCGGCGGTGTACTACTTCAACTCGATCGACCGCATGGCAGCGGGCGACTACCTGCCGACGGACCAGGATATCCTGCGGTCGCGAGTCAAGACGACGGGGATTACGGAGACGACGTTCAAGGTGCCTATCTTCCGCGTGGCAAGTGCAGGGATGTGCGCTAACCCGACGTTTCGCAGGTCGGCGAGCTGACGTACAAGCTGTTCGATGTGGGTGGGCAGCGGTCAGAGCGCAAAAAGTGGATCCACTGCTTTGAGAATGTGACGGCGCTGGTGTTCCTTGTGTCCCTGAGCGAGTA